GAAAGTACCAATATGTAGGGATGGACCACCAGAAAGTACCAATATGTAGTGATGGACCACCAGAAAGTACCAATATGTAGTGATGGACCACCAGAAAGTACCAATATGTAGTGATGGACCACCAGAAAGTACCAATATGTAGTGATGGACCACCAGAAAGTACCAATATGTAGTGATGGACCACCAGAAAGTACCAATATGTAGGGATGGACCACCAGAAAGTACCAATATGTAGCGATGGACCACCAGAAAGCACCAATATGTAGTGATGGACCACCAGAAAGTACCAATATGTAGTGATGGACCACCAGAAAGTACCAATATGTAATGATGGACCACCAGAAAGTACCAATATGTAGTGATGGACCACCAGAAAGTACCAATATGTAGTGATGGACCACTAGAAAGTACCAATATGTAGTGATGGACCACCAGAAAGCACCAATAAGTAGTGATGGACCACCAGAAAGTACCAATATGTAATGATGGACCACCAGAAAGTACCAATATGTAGTGATGGACCACCAGAAAGTACCAATATGTAGTGATGGACCACCAGAAAGTACCAATATGTAATGATGGACCACCAGAAAGCACCAATAAATAGTGATGGACCACCAGAAAGTACCAATATGTAGTGATGGACCACTAGAAAGTACCAATATGTAGTGATGGACCACCAGAAAGCACCAATAAGTAGTGATGGACCACCAGAAAGTACCAATATGTAATGATGGACCACCAGAAAGTACCAATATGTAGTGATGGACCACCAGAAAGTACCAATATGTAGTGATGGACCACCAGAAAGCACCAATAAGTAGTGATGAACCACCAGAAAGTACCAATATGTAATGATGGACCACCAGAAAGTACCAATATTTAGTGATGGACCACCAGAAAGTACCAATAAGTAGTGATGGACCACCAGAAAGTACCAATATGTAATGATGGACCACTAGAAAGTACCAATAAGTAGTGATGGACCACCAGAAAGTACCAATAAGTAGTGATGGACCACCAGAAAGTACCAATATGTAATGATGGACCACCAGAAAGTACCAATATGTAATGATGGACCACCAGAAAGTACCAATATGTAATGATGGACCACCAGAAAGTACCAATATGTAATGATGGACCACCAGCAAGTACCAATATGTAATGATGGACCACCAGAAAGTACCAATATGTAGTGATGGACCACCAGAAAGTACCAATATGTAATGATGGACCACCAGAAAGTACCAATATGTAATGATGGACCACCAGAAAGTACCAATATGTAATGATGGACCACCAGAAAGTACCAATATGTAGTGATGGACCACCAGAAAGTACCAATATGTAATGATGGACCACCAGAAAGTACCAATATGTAGTGATGGACCACCAGAAAGTACCAATAAGTAGTGATGGACCACCAGAAAGTACCAATATGTAATGATGGACCACCAGAAAGTACCAATATGTAATGATGGACCACCAGAAAGTACCAATAAGTAGTGATGGACCACCAGAAAGTACCAATATGTAATGATGGACCACCAGAAAGTACCAATATGTAATGATGGACCACCAGAAAGTACCAATATGTAGTGATGGACCACCAGAAAGTACCAATATGTAATGATGGACCACCAGAAAGTACCAATATGTAATGATGGACCACCAGAAAGTACCAATATGTAATGATGGACCACCAGAAAGTACCAATATGTAGTGATGGACCACCAGAAAGTACCAATATGTAATGATGGACCACCAGAAAGTACCAATATGTAATGATGGACCACCAGAAAGTACCAATATGTAATGATGGACCACCAGAAAGTACCAATAAGTAGTGATGGACCACCAGAAAGTACCAATATGTAATGATGGACCACCAGAAAGTACCAATATGTAGTGATGGACCACCAGAAAGTACCAATAAGTAGTGATGGACCACCAGAAAGCACCAATATGTAATGATGGACCAGCAGAAAGTACCAATATGTAGTGATGGACCACCAGAAAGTACCAATATGTAATGATGGACCACCAGAAAGTACCAATATGTAGTGATGGACCACCAGAAAGTACCAATATTTGATTATTTCATTTAAAACAATATAATTTTCGAGTATTTTCACACAAGTGGGCAAATTCTCTCTAATTAGTATGAATGGACATATACGCATAAAATTTAATTATGCAATTTAGATTTGTTAAATTATAGTTTCAGTTTCAATGTGCATCTATTCCATCTTTATCTGTCATTATCTTCACTTTCCTATCTCCTCACCTATCTATCCACCTCTTATTTTTACTATTTCTTATTCCTTACCTATTGTCCTTGTCCCTATCCTTCTCCCTACTTTTATCCTTTATTCTATCCTCCAATTTGTCCTCAAATCAAGTCGCTTTAGGATTTATTGATCAAAATACACTGATAAATCCCCTTCTTGATTAAATGAGGTGTAATAGCTTGTTAATCCCGTTTTCTATCAACAGGTATTGTCTGAGGTCAATGGAAGTGATCAGCCAATGAGAGGACGTTATTGTCTGATAAGTACTGCTAGTTCCCTTGTTATTCTTCTACTAGTTATTTATACCCATTTATTCCCGTTATAATTTGATATATTACTAGTTAACTTTATTTATTTTAATTGTCAGGATTAAAATTAATATTTGTTATCAAAATTATATTTGTTATCTTGGTTTTATTACTATTTTGATAACGACGTTAGATTTTAGATTTTGATATCGATACGTTGGCAGTAAAGCTTATATTTAACATGTTATAACCTTGTTAAATTACAACATTCCAAAGTGATCCACAGAGATGTCAGAGAACATAGTCCATTACAAAGTGCTAAAGCGCTTTCGTCGACGCAATTAAAACATACTTGGGGGGTGAGGGGGAAATGGATCACTAGAAAGTACCAATATGTAGTGATGGACCACCAGAAAGTACCAATATGTAGTGATGGACCACCAGAAAGTACCAATATGTAGTGATGGACCACCAGAAAGTACCAATATGTAGTGATGGACCACCAGAAAGTACCAATATGTAGTGATGGATCACCAGAAAGTACCAATATGTAGTGATGGACCACCAGAAAGTACCAATATGTAGTGATGGACCACCAGAAAGTACCAATATGTAGTGGTGGACCACCAGAAAGTACCAATATGTAGTGATGGACCACCAGAAAGTACCAATATGTAGTGATGGACCACCAGAAAGTACCAATATGTAGTGGTGGACCACCAGAAAGTACTAATATGTAGTGATGGATCACCAGAAAGTACCAATATGTAGTGATGGACCACCAGAAAGTACCAATATGTAGTGGTGGACCACCAGAAAGTACCAATATGTAGTGATGGACCACCAGAAAGTACCAATATGTAATGATGGACCACCAGAAAGTACCAATATGTAGTGGTGGACCACCAGAAAGTACCAAAATGTAGTGATGGATCACCAGAAAGTACCAATATGTAGTGATGGACCACCAGAAAGTACCAATATGTAGTGATGGACCACCAGAAAGTACCAATATGTAGTGGTGGACCACCAGAAAGTACCAATATGTAGTGATGGCTCAAATAAGGCAATTTAAGTATTATTAAATTTATTAAATAAGTTAGGTCTTAAATTGTAGATCAGTACATATTGGTACTTTCTGGTGGTCCATCACTACATATTGGTACTTTCTGGTGATCCATTGCTACATATTGGTACTTTCTGATGATCCATCGCTACATATTGGTAGTTTCTGATGATCCATCGCTACATATTGGTAGTTTCTGGTGATCCATCACTACATATTGGTACTTTCTGATGATCCATCACTACATATTGGTACTTTCTGGTGGTCCATCACTACATATTGGTACTTCCCACCAAATAGTTACCATAAATAATTAAATTTTAGGATTATGAGTAAGTTTAAGATCCTCTCGATGTGTGTGTGTGTTTGTGTGTGTGTGTGTGTGTGTGTGTGTGTGTGTGTGTGTGTGTGTGTGTGTGTGTGTATGAATGTGCAAGATACGCTTTTGGACCCTATGTGTATGCGTCTGAATATGTAACATGGCTAAAAAGAGCTTCCACATAATCCTGGCCAAGCCTACTTTATTTGACACGACCTGATCATCTATGTGCCTCTTCAATCACTTATAACACTACTATCTTCCCTCTCATCTGGTTTAGGGGATTCACCACCTTGTATAAAGGAGTCGAAGTTATTGTTCTATTGGTCTGAATTCTCTGCAGCCTGTTCTTGCTGGTTTGTTCTTGATATTGAGAACTGTCACCTGTTCACAGTTAATGGCAGTTTGCTGGTGGTTGACCTATTCCGGATTTCGTACAGAAAAATGCAAATGCATTTGGGAAAAGATATTCGGGCAAATTTCACCAGTGGATATCCGCTGATATTTGTCCCTGATGTTATCTCTATATACCTCGATTGGTGTTGCCAACTTGCCTATTATTTTTCATAATTTTGAATGCCAGTTTTATTTCTCTATCTTGAATGTGAATTTCTACCAACTACTTTATTGGTAACGAGGCATTTCACTGCTGTTTGGAGGCCGGGGGTGCAGTGGCTTGTCTAAGAATGCCTCAAGTATCAGAAACATGAGATGTATAACTACCCAAGGGTCGTTAACAAGCACCAGCGTGGGCTTAACGAGCTAACAGGGTCATCAATTAATTAGGGGAGGGCAGTTAGGTTCCTCCCCTTGGTACGTCCTTGTCCGAACAAGTAATTAAGGTTGTAATGTACTTTAGTCTTCTTTGCCTCAACCATCTTCACTAATTTCTTTCATTTCTTTCACCCCTTTTCTTAATTATCTTCCATTTTATTCATTCTCTCTTCTTTCCTTTTCTTCGCACTTTCATCTCCTGTTCTCATGTTTCATTATCGCTACGTTGATAAAGATAAACTTTATTCAATTCTTTGTAAAATAGTGTTTACAATATCCTATTTTGTTTACATATTCATTCGTTAATTTCCATCTATTATTATTTCTGTTGCTTTTCCCAAGTTCTTCGTTGGTCGCTTCTCTGTATTTACTTCAGGCTTTGACGAGAACCTGAACTTGTCTGCTGGGTCTCTAAGTCTGAAGTTTGGTGGTTCTCTAAGTCTGAACTTTGGTGGGTCTCTAAGTCTGAACTTTGGTGGGTCTCTAAGTCTGAACTTTGGTGGGTCTCTAAGTCTGAACTTTGGTGGGTCTCTAAGTCTGTACTTTGGTGGGTCTCTTAAGTCTGAACTTTGGTGGGTCTCTTAAGTCTGAACTATGGTGGTTCTCTAAGTCTGAACTTTGGTAGGTCTCTTAAGTCTGAACTTTGCTGGTTCTCTAAGTCTGAACTTTGCTGGTTCTCTTAAGTCTGAACTTTGGTTTATTAAGGGTCCTGTTGTAATATGTATATGTATATATATATATATATATATATATATATATATATATATATATATATATATATATATATATATATATATTAGTTTTAATTTTCTATCATATCAATTATATATGAATACGTTGCGTCGAGCTCAGTCCATTATTTTTAAAAATCACTATATATAGACTTGGTATTAACTCCTAAATCACCCAACAGCGCTTGTAAATCACTTACAGCCCCTCTAAATAACTTCATAAAGCTTCTAACTAACTGCTAGCGTTAGTAAATCACTCAATATAGATTGTAAACCACTCCATAGTGATTGCAAAATTAGTTATTAAATATTAACATCTTTATTGACAAAATTAAGATATAATTTTGCCTAATTTGAGTCATTCAATTAGATCTTATTACAGTAAGGTGATGCTTGTATTATATGTGCTTATATGAAGCACATATAATTGTACAATTAATCACATATAATTGTAGAAATAATCACATATAACTGTGGAATGAAGCATATATAATTACAGAATGAAGCACATATAATTGTAGAATTAATCACATATAATTGTAGAATTAATCACATATAATTGTAGAATTAATCACATATAATTGTAGAATTAATCACATATAATTGTAGAATTAATCACATATAATTGTAGAATTAATCACATATAATTGTAGAATTAATCACATATAATTGTAGAATTAATCACATATAATTGTAGAATTAATCACATATAATTGTAGAATTAATCACATATAATTGTAGAATTAATCACATATAATTGTAGAATTAATCACATATAATTGTAGAATTAATCACATATAATTGTAGAATTAATCACATATAATTGTAGAATTAATCACATATAATTGTAGAATTAATCACATATAATTGTAGAATTAATCACATATAATTGTAGAATTAATCACATATAATGGTAGAATTAATCACATATAATTGTAGAATTAATCACATATAATTCAGTTAAGTTAAGCATGCTTCAGTATACGAATTTGTAAATGCATCTTTCTACTATTCACTACCACACAAGACAGGGATAGATTCACGAGGAATACAGCTAAAAAATTAATAAACACATACAATTATCGTTCTCATTGATAAATATGGATAAACATATTCAGGACTAAGTAATAGGATTAGTTCCAATATACCAATCATTTACGTAATTGATTGGGTAATCATTAGGCCAAAAATCTTGTAGAGTTTCACATTCAATAATGTAGTGTTTTAAGAGAATGATTTAATGGTTCGTCACAGAGTTTGCAATCTGAATTTTCTGGTAGTGGTTCAGTTTTCCTAGCTTGCTAGATGTGCCTATAGCAAAGGCTTGCTCAGGACATTTTCAAGTCGAAAATCGACTTGAGAATGGTCCAGGACGGACCGAAACGTCGTCGTCCCTTCACCTTCTAGTGTGTTACAATCGACTTGAGAATGGTCCAGGACGGACCGAAACGTCGTCGTCCCTTCACCTTGTAGTGTTACAATCGACTTGAGAATGGTCCAGGACGGACCGAAACGTCGTCGTCCCTTCACCTTCTAGTGTGTTACAATCGACTTGAGAATGGTCCAGGACGAACCGAAACGTCGTCGTCCCTTCACCTTCTAGTGTGTTACAATCGACTTGAGAATGGTCCAGGACGGACCGAAACGTCGTCGTCCCTTCACCTTCTAGTGTGTTACAATCGACTTGAGAATGGTCCAGGACGGACCGAAACGTCGTCGTCCCTTCACCTTCTAATGTGACTTGGTAAACATAAACTTACTCTCTTTGAATAATTTTGACATAGAATGAGCACAGCTGTTGTATTAGCAACAGGTGTTGGCAGCAGGTGTGTGTAGACTCGACAAATGACCGGTGTTGCGTCAGGTTCGAATCTCTCACAACACCTGTGGATGTTTTTATCAGCTGTAATATCACCACCGTACGTTGGGGAACTTGATCAACGCGGTGATAGTGGTTGGTAGAAGGTTGTGCAACATGGCTCTGATATTCCATTCAGCGTGAATTGAAAAAAATATATATTTGCCAGTTATTGGATCCGCCTGAAACTTTGTTCTTCAGAGGGAAGGATTTATCAGGGGGAAAGCGCCAAGCCATTACGACTATACAGCACTTAGAAGGGGTCAGGATATAAGGATTTAAGATGGGTTTAGTTAATAGATACATATACATATCTTGAAGGTATACATGGAGGAGTTCTTGTGCATACAGGGCCCCTGAAGTTGTTATGTATTCTATGTGTTCTTCCACGTGCTATGGAATGTTCTAGAAGCTAGAGTGCCTGGGAGGAGTATACATATGTATACTCTCATAGATAAAGATTTTTTTAAGCCAGCCAAGAGGTGGCACGGGCATGAATAACCCGTAATATACTCTGATATTAAGGGCCCTCTTAGATATATACCAGCGGCTTGCCCTCTCAATCCTCCTCTCCTACCCCCCCCCCCCTTTCCCCTTCTCAATTTTGCTCCCCCTTCTCAACCCCCCCTCCCCCCCCACGTTAGCTGTGGCGGTTCCTTTGATGTCTGCGCCCTCGTGCGAACCTGCCCAATTTGGGTATATTTTCGGACCCGTTAACATACAGTGTTTTTAATATTTTTTTTTCGCACAAAGGGGGAGAAAGAGAGAGTATTTTCATGTGTTATTGTTCTTGTGTTCTTTCTCCTCTGTTCTTCTCTGTGTCGGTGACGCGAACGAGATTGTAATTTTCTTTTTCCTCATTCGTTTATTAAAGGGTTTGTGGCTATTGAGATCTGTGTCGTGTGAAGCCTTGTCCGTCCTGGATGAGGCCTGTGGGGCGCCTGCCTTGTCCATCCTGTGATTAGCAGCCTGCTGGCTTTTTTGATATATGGTTCTTGCGCCGTTCTTGTTCTAGTAGTTCTACTGTTCTTCTCTCTCTCTATTCCTTCTTTCTTATTTTGTCTTCACTTCTTCATTTCCTTTCGTCTGTTTTTTATCCGTTTTTTTATCTATCTCTTTATTTCCTCTGTTTATATTCCTCTTTTTCCCTTGGGAGCCGGTCGGCCGAGCGGACAGCACGCTGGACTTGTGATCCTGTGGTCCTGGGTTCGATCCCAGGCGCCGGTGAGAAACAATGGGCAGAGTTTCTTTCATCCTATGCCCCTGTTACCTAGCAGTAAAATAGGTACCTGGGTGTTAGTTAGCTGTCACGGGCTGCTTCCTGGGGGGTGGAGGCCTGGTCGAGGACCGGGCCGCGGGGACACTAAAGCCCCGAAATCATCTCAAGATAACCTCAAGATTGTTCCTACTGTTCTCTGCTTCGTTTATTTTCATTTCTCTCTTTTACCTTCCCAGATATTTGTCTAAGTCTAGATTTGTACATTTGGGTAACCCTATTCCATTGCCCCTTCCACTGACCCTTCTCACCCCTCTACTTCCTCCCTTTCTCCTTGTCCTCTTTTTCCTGTTCTCTCTTTTCCTGTTCTCTCTTTTTTCTTCTCTTCTGTTCTCTTTTTCCTGTTCTCTCTTTTCCTGTTCTCTCTTTTCCTGTTCTCTCTTTTCCTGTTCTCTCTTTTTTCCCTGTTCTCTCTTTTCCTGTTCTCTCTTTTCCCTGTTCTCTCTTTTCCTGTTCTCTTTTCCTGTTCTCTCTCTTTTTTTCTGTTCTCTCTTTTCCTGTTCTCTCTTTTCCTGTTCTCTCTTTTCCTGTTCTCTCTTGTTCTCTCTTTTCCTGTTCTCTCTTTTCCTGTTCTCTCTTTTCCTGTTCTCTCTTTTCCTGTTCTCTCTTTTCCTGTTCTCTCTTTTCCTGTTCTCTCTTTTCCTGTTCTCTCTTTTCCTGTTCTCTCTTTGTTCTCCTGTTCTCTCTTTTCCTGTTCTCTCTTTTCCTGTTCTCTCTTTCCTGTTCTCTCTTTTCCTGTTCTCTCTTTTCCTGTTCTCTCTTTTCCTGTTCTCTCTTTTCCTGTTCTCTCTTTTCCTGTTCTCTCTTTTCCTGTTCTCTCTTTTCCTGTTCTCTCTTTTCCTGTTCTCTCTTTTCCTGTTCTCTCTTTTCCTGTTCTCTCTGTTCCTGGTCTCTCTTTTCCTGTTCTCTCTTTTTTCCTGTTCTCTCTTTTCCTGTTCTCTCTTTTCCTGTTCTCTCTTTTCCTGTTCTCTCTTTTCCTGTTCTCTCTTTTCCTGTTCTCTCTTTCCCTGTTCTCTCTTTTCCTGTTCTCTCTTTCCCTGTTCTCTCTTTTTCTGTTCTCTCTTTTCCTGTTCTCTCTTTCCCTGTTCTCTCTTTTCCTGTTCTCTCTTTCCCTGTTCTCTCTTTTCCTGTTCTCTCTTTTCCTGTTCTCTCTTTCCCTGTTCTCTCTTTCCCTGTTCTCTCTTTCCCTGTTCTCTCTTTCCCTGTTCTCTCTTTCCCTGTTCTCTCTTTCCCTGTTCTCTCTTTCCCTGTTCTCTCTTTTCCTGTTCTCTCTTTCCCTGTTCTCTCTTTTTCTGTTCTCTCTTTTCCTGTTCTCTCTTTCCCTGTTCTCTCTTTTCCTGTTCTCTCTTTTCCTGTTCTCTCTTTTCCTGTTCTCTCTTTTCCTGTTCTCTCTTTTCCTGTTCTCTCTTTTCCTGTTCTCTCTTTTCCTGTTCTCTCTTTTCCTGTTCTCTCTTTTCCTGTTCTCTCTTTTCCTGTTCTCTCTTTTCCTGTTCTCTCTTTCCCTGTTCTCTCTTTTCCTGTTCTCTCTTTTCAGCTTTTATCATATCCTTCCGTTTTCAGTGTTTAAATCACTGGTGTTGTCCCGTCTTGAGTACTGCTCGGTACTCACTTCCCTTTTCAGAGCGGGAGAGATCTCTGAATTAGAGAGAATACAGAGAACATATACGGCACGCATAGACACGATAAAACATCTACATTATTGAGACCGTCTCAAAGCTCTCCAAATGTACTCTCTAGCAAGGAGACGAGAAAGTTATCAAATAATATATACATGGAAGATACTGGAGGACCAGGTCCCAAATTTGCACAGTAGAATAACAAGTTACTGGAGCGAAAGGTATGGCAGGAAGTGCAGAATAGAACCAGTGAGGAGTAAGAGGTGCCATAGGCACAGAGAGACCTCTGGATGTCCTCTGATGTCTGGACCTCTGATGTCTGAACATCAGAGGTCCACAGCACTTCAACACCCTACCAGCAACCATTAGAAAAATTACTGGAACAAAGATGAGTGTATTCAAGAGGCACTTAGAAGTTCCTCTTGAATACTTGAGGCACTTCTTGCAAGAAGTGCCGAACCAACCAGGCTGTAGTGGATATGTTTCCCTGCGGACCGCTCCAAGCAACAGCCTGTTAGACCAAATTATCACAAGTCAAGCCTGGCTTCAGGCCAGGCTTGGAGAGTAGAACAACTCTCAAAATCCTCTCCAGGTATGATCCAGGTATTCCCCCTTACTTCTTCTCTCCCTTCTCTCGAGTTAGTCAGCTGTCACGGGCTGCTTCCTGGGGGTGGAGGCCTGGTCGAGGACCGGGCCGCGGGGACACTAGAAAAAGCCCCGAAATCATCTCAAGATAACCTCAAGATAAGATAACCCTTTTATCCCTACATTTATTTCCCTCTTTCCATTTCTTTTTCATTCTTCCCTTCATATTTCTATTTCCCCTCGTTACCATTCCCCTCCCCATAGAGGCAGCGAAGCATGACTGAGAGTGAGAGAGAGTAATTCAACATTGTGTTAAGTCAACCCACAAATTGATTGAGTGAAATGACGGGTGATTTGCCTGGATTTGCATACCGGCATACGCTCGTTTGCTGTAGTCGTTCACTTGTTAGCTTCAGCGTCCCTGTGACTGTCTATACTGTCCTCTGTTGACTGTCTATACTGTCCTCTGTTGACTGTCTATACTGTCCTCTGTTGACTGTCTATACTGTCCTCTGTTGACTGTCTATACTGTCCTCTGTTGACTGTCTATACTGTCCTCTGTTGACTGTCTATACTGTCCTCTGTTGACTGTCTATACTGTCCTCTGTTGACTGTCTATACTGTCCTCTGTTGACTGTCTATACTGTCCTCTGTTGACTGTCTATACTGTCCTCTGTTGACTGTCTATACTGTCCTCTGTTGCCTTGTTGCCTGTTAGTAGTGTCCTCTGTTGACTGTCTATACTGTCCTCTGTTGACTGTCTATACTGTCCTCTGTTGACTGTTAGTAGTGTCCTCTGTTGCTTGTTATTAGTGTCCTCTGTTGCCTTGTTGCCTGTTAGTAGTGTCCTCTGTTGACTGTCTATACTGTCCTCTGTTGACTGTCTATACTGTCCTCTGTTGACTGTTAGTAGTGTCCTCTGTTGCCTGTTAGTAGTGTCCTCTGTTGCCTGTTAGTAGTGTCCTCTGTTGCCTGTTAGTAGTGTCCTCTGTTGCCTGTTAGTAGTGTCCTCTGTTGCCTGTTAGTAGTGTCCTCTGTTGCCTGTTAGTAGTGTCCTCTGTTGCCTGTTAGTAGTGTCCTCTGTTGCCTGTTAGTAGTGTCCTCTGTTGTCTGTCAGTGTGTCCTCTGTTGCCTGTTAGTAGAGTCCTCTGTTGCCTGTTAGTATCTGTCATGAGAATGCTTTTCTTACTGTTTGCCTGTCTTCCTGTTGGGTCCTTCTGTTAGTAATGAGACGGAAGACTTAAATTCAAGATCTAGCCGGACAAATGGTTACTAGACTTCAACCCAAATAAGTGTAGATAAAGGAGAATATAAGCAGGTGCAATAACGTCATATAAATAATACAAAACGAAGGAGAGACATCTACTGATAAGAGAAGATAATCTGGAAGTAGACAGTTCCTTCGCTGATAGATAGTAACACTATCAGCATTTCTTATTAACATCTTAATTGACATAATTAATTACAATTTTAATCTGAGGATTTCAATTATCAGTCAAAAACATAACATAAGAGTGAACATTAATCTAGAGAACATTAACTTACGGGAGCAGGTCGGCCGAGCGGACAACACTCTGGACTCATAATCCTGTGGTCCAGGGTTCGATCCCAGGCGCCGGGGAGAAACAATGGGCAGAGTTTCTTTCACCCTATGCCCCTGTTACCTAGCAGTAAAATAAGTACCTGGGTGTTAGTCAGCTGTCACGGGCTGCTTCCTGGGGGTGGAGGCCTGGTCGAGGACCGGGCCGCGGGGACACTAAAGCCCCGAAATCCTATCAAGATAACCCATCAGGAGCCTGGACAAAGTTTTTCATTACAAATTATATTAACAACGTACATCAGAACATCGCTAGAGTATGCAGCGACGACAAAGGAGCCCAAACTTCCCAAACAGCAAAGATTAAATATAGCACATACCGAAATTGCTGCTAGGCAAGTCCCAGAATTGAGAGGACTGAACCACGAGAACATTGAACCTAATGTGATTTGTATAAACTCAGTGAGGACATGATTCAGACATACAAAATCCTCCGGGCAATGTATCTACACAGCAGACTCGTGTCTTGGAGGCTGTTGTGGAATATGGTGATAAGGGGGGGGGGTGAGGGGAGAGATGGTGAGAGGGGGGAGATGGTGAGGGGGAGATAGTGAGGGGGTAGAGATAGTGAGGGGGTAGAGATAGTGAGGGGTAGAGATAGTGAGGGGTAGAGATAGTGAGGGGTAGAGATAGTGAGGGGAAGGGTTAGTGAGAATTAGAGATAGTGAGGGGTAGAGATAGTGAGGGGTAGAGATAGTGAGGGGTAGAGATAGTGAGAGGTAGAGATAGTGAGGGGAAGGGTTAGTGAGGGGTAGAGATAGTGAGGGGTAGAGATAGTGAGGGGTAGAGATAGTGAGGGGTAGAGATAGTGAGGGGAAGGGTTAGTGAGGGGTAGAGATAGTGAGGGGTAGAGATAGTGAGGGGTAGAGATAGTGAGGGGTAGAGATAGTGAGGGGTAGAGATAGTGAGGGGTAGAGATAGTGAGGGGAAGGGTTAGTGAGGAGGGGTGTGGCTTATGAAACAAGGGGAATGTAAAGGGGACTGATATAAGGGGGAGGGGGTAGGTGAGGTAGGGTTGAAGGGGGAGGGAGGGGGTTAAGGGGAACTGTTGTGAGGGGAGGAGGGACGCCGTTGCTATGACAACGGTGTGTATACCTCAGAGGGGCAAGTCTGCCTGTCCCCCTGTGATGGATTGGCTAAAGAAGGGGGAGAGGGGGGGGGCTGTTTGTGTCGACCTGCGTGTGTGTGTGTGTGTGTGTGTGTGTGTGTGTGTGTGTGTGTGTGTGTGTGTGTGTGTGTGTACTCACCTAGTTGTACTCACCTAGTTGTGTTTGCGGGGGTTGAGCTCTGGCTCTTTGGTCCCGCCTCTCAACCGTCAATCAACAAACAGTGTGTGTGTGTGTGTGTGTGTGTGTGTGTGTGTGTGTGTGTGTGTGTGTGTGTGTGTGTGTGTGTGTGTACTCACCTGTTTCTGCTTGCGGGGGTTGAGCTTTGGCTCTTTGGTCCCGCCTCTCAACTGTCAAACAACTGTGTGTGTGTGTGTGTGTGTGTGTGTGTGTGTGTGTGTGTGTGTGTGTGTGTGTGTGTGTGTGTGTGTGTGTAAGCGCGTATTTTTCTTCACTTTTTCTTTACACAAATAACACCAATTCGTTTGTGTCAACACACACATATTAACAAGATAATATCTCTAAATTACAGTGTATATTTATGTCCTTGTATATGTATATACATACATATGTATATGTATATATATACATGTATTCCCCTATGTGTTACAGATATTTTCAGCCCCCTGTAAACTAACACAAAAGTACGCAATAAACACATACAGTCAGACCAAGTAATTACAAAAATAATGGAAGAATGTACTCACCTAGTTGCTGTAACCAAACTGTAGTGGCAGGGATTCAGCTCTTGGTTCCAGCCTCCAAGAAGCTGTTGCTTATGTCCAACCAATCACTCCTCTATGTGGGAACTATACCCAGGACCACAAAAGTACAATTAGACTAGTCCTGGAACTAACAGGCATGAGCTACGAGGAAAGGCTGCGTGAATTGCAACGCAAGCATGGAAGACATGATCACCACATTCAAAATTCTCAAGGGAACTGACAGAAGGGGATAAGGACAGATTATTTAACACTGGTGGGACACGAACAAGGGGACACAGGTGGAGACTGAGTACCCACATGAGCCACAGGGACGTTAGAAAGAACTTTTTCAGTGTCAGAGTAGTTAGTAAATGGAATGCATTAGGCAGTGATGTGGTGGAGGCTGACTCCATACACAGTTTCAAGTGTAGATATGATAGAGCCCAATAGGCTCAGGAACCTGTACACCAGTTGATTGACAGTTGAGAGGCGGGACCAAAGAGCCAGAGCTCAACCCCCGCAAGCACAACTAGGTGAGTACACACACACACACACACAGTGTTAGTAGTGTGTGTGTGTGTGTGTGTGTGTGTGTGTGTGTGTGTGTGTGTGTGTGTGTGTGTGTGTGTGTGTGTGTGTGTGTGTGTGTGTGGGGGGGGGCTGACTCCATACACAGTTTCAAGTATAGATATGATAGAGCCCAGTAGGCTCAGGAACCTGTACACCAGTTGATTGACAGTTGAGAGGCGGGACCGCAAGCACAATTAGAAGAGTACAACTAGGAGAGTACACAACACTGTGATATAGCATTATAGCGAAGCTGTGATAATGCCAAGCATGAGGGGCAGGCATCATTGTTATACAATGATTCACGGATATATGAACACAGGTGATTCAGTGATAATGTACTGTCGGAGTACAGTGGCAGAGTACTAC